ATTCTGCCTAGTATTAGCTAAGTTATTAACACTACCTAGCAAAGTATACCTATTAATAGGTATGCTTACTAGGTACCCCCCCTTTTTTAATATTTTCTAGCCTCTATCTTGTGCAGTTTAATAGTTATAACAAAACCTTCTACTACAAAAATATAGAGGTGGTTTTTCTCTTTCTTTTCAGCCCTAGTTTGCTAGAATCTATGTATTATTAATAAGGTTTTAGGGGGTACCTACAAAGGACGTTAGAGTATACTCATTCTGCCAGCCTATTAATAGGTATGCTTGCTAGGTACCCCCCCTTTTTTGACATTTTCTAGCCTCTAGCTTGTGCAGTTTAATAGTTATAACAAAACCTTCTACTACAAAAATATAGAGGTGGTTTTTCTCTTTCTTTTCAGCCCTAGTTCGCTAGAATCTATGTATTATTGATAAGGTTTTGGGGGGTACCCACGAAGGACGTTGGAGTATACCTATTCCGCCAGCGAGACTCTGCCTAGTATAAGGAGACGAATATACCCTATAATTAGAAGCTCTTAGTCTCTAAGAACAGTTAGATAAATAATATACTTAGCCTTAAGTAGTTAAAGTACTTTAACACACATATAAAGATGTATTAGGTAGGAGTGTATAGGTTACTTATCTTAGACAGCTATAAGAGCTATCTTAACTAGGAGTTTAAGGACTATTACCTAGAGAACTAAATCCTTACTCTCTATAACGTATTCCACCACCTAACAGCTTAAACCACCTAACAGCTCAAAATGTCTTGGCACAACTAACACTAGTTACAAATTTCTATTTTTATTACTATTATATAAGGAGCCTATGTACGCTGTACTAACCTCTAATTTAGAAGTCTCCTCTACATCCTTTTTACACGTTCGCGCGTTGTGCCCAGTCTTGCTGTAGTTCCTACAGCGCTGTAAAGCTGGTTAGGCTCTCTCTTGATCACCACCACGACGAGCCTTCTTCGACCGCTCAGCGGCTATAGAGGCCTCTGCGGCCACCTGGGCTGCTGCCTCACCATACTCCATTGTGCCGCCATGCTGGATCCGCTTCCTTTTGCGCGATTTCCTTTTAGTCATCACTGCTAATTGCTCTTCAAGCTCAGTAATCTGGGCTGCTTAAAGCGCGTTCTGATGCAGCATAAGCTCGCCGCCTCTAATAAGCTAAGAGAAGCCTGCCTGCGCAGTAATAGGAGAACAAGTAAAGGACTCGCGTACAAGCTTTAATTGTGATCTAAACTTATGTGTATTGCTTAGAGTCTTTAACTGCTACAGCGTCTCTAGGAGGAGGGGTTCTAGCAGGGTACGCAGCCACACTTTAAGGCGATCTAATACAACCTACACGTTAAGAGGGATAAGTCCTAA